TATTTACATCTGCAGAGACCTTTGCAAGTAAGGGCACAATCATAATTACCAGGGGGTAATTCAACATATTTTTTGTAGGGGACATAATCCAGCCCAACACCTAATAAGCAATAAAACATTTCTCCATATCTAGGAATAGGGCTTGGATTGGCCCTCATGGAATAAAGCAAAGCAAAATGGTTCACAGGGGAAGGGAATCATGATCATATTAACTTCATTTGCTCAGCAGTTACACCACATCTTACATGTATTAATCATATCACACTGTTTGCTTTCTTCCTTCCATCTTTTCTCTCTTTATTTAAACTTGGAGTGATAGAGTTAACAAGGGTTAGGGATTTACAGGAAGATCTGAATCAGAAAAACATTTTTCTGAGAGTAAGATAGATAGTGATGTGTTCTTTAGTTTCTCGCATATCCAAAACCCCGAAGAGACAGTTCACCAAAGGTTTTGTGGCTGAAAGATCTACTATAACTATTCAGAATTACATTTAGCTTAGAATCATAAATACACACCCAAGTCTACATATATACTTAAACATAGTGGTCTAGTCTTCATCGTAATTGTCTTGGGAGATAACTGGGTAGCATTTCTCTAAACACAAAGAGACCAGTGAAAGTAATTGACATTTTGCAGATTTGAATCAATGAAGTTACTCACTAATCCCAATCAACCAAAGTAAAGAAGTTTAGTTCCTGGATTTTCTTAGAAGAGGAAACTGACAAAAGAGCTGAGCCATCACCTCCTCTTCCGGTGCAGGTGCAAAAGGATTCTTAGTTATCGTAAGAAAGAAAAGACAGAAGGTTATGCATACTCTCACATTCACACCCTGAGAGCTGATTAGCAACAACCACCACCTCTGTCAGAATACCAGCAGCAGGAAATTTCTCAAAGGGGAAAGTTTAACCCAAGAAAATAGCTTTTTGCTGGGGGTGAGGATCAGAAAGTGAGAGGCTGACGGGTTAAAGTGTTAGAACCAACATTTGAGTTTTGTTTTAATCCCTGTTTTCAGTGTGGATCAGCCCTTGGGGCTCCTTTTCCACAGGTCCATACGAGATGTTCAGATCTGTCCTTATCAATTCCAAAGACATTCCAAGCGGGTTTCTGAAACCAACTGGTGAGTAACACAGGATTCCTTGGGGGCATAGGGAGTGTCTAATGCACTTTTTATTTAAAGATCAGTGACAAATTCTTAATAGCATAGGAACTGAAGGGGAAATGTGAAATGTAATGGTGCTTGGTCAGTGGAGCAAAAGATTTGTAGTGGTGAAAGAAAATACAGATAAAATTATTTGAGCTGTACTTTTTACATATCTTTGGGAGTACATATCTTTGGGAGCACAATTCAGGCTTAAAATAATTTCAGCTGTGATTTGTGTTGGCTCAATTTTGAGCTGAACAAAATGGATTTACTGTTTTGTGTTTCTGTCTTCTTTTTATTCAAATAGGACATGCTCTCCTGGTTCAGAGAAATCTGATAGCTATCTCTTAGTTAGAACCATGTCTGATAAAATACTCTTTCCAGTTGTGGATGTTTAATCGCACTGGATTGTTAGCAAAGACCTCTAGGGAGACTCAGCTCGAAGGACAAAACTAGTTGCCAAGTGAGCAACAGATTAGGGTCTGAGTTTTTGGTGGAAGTCTAGCCAGAAGAATTTAGGCAAAGGTGGAACCAATAAGGAAGACAAAAAGAAATGCGAAATGCTTTGGGAGAACAAAAACAACAAAGCAAATGCACAGGAATACATTGAACAGTCAGCCAATGAGCAATTCATAACTAATATCTGATGTATAATTTAAGATCCAAAGGTCACCCTACCAGTCACCCTAGAACCTGGTGGGTAACTTTCTGAGCTAGCTTAAGCTGTTTTATTTCCTGCAAGTGCTTATTTAGAGGCACTCTCCCCTCCTCCCCCCCCCCCCCCCAAAAAAAGTAAGAGTAAAACCAGATTTAACAGAGGTATTTACTTGGATGAATTAGGGGTTATAAAAGCATTTTACAAATTGCCAATTTACTAAGCAATTGTCACCGGAATTCTGCATCACTTTACTTTCAATGTGATGATCCAAAGAGATAAAGGCAGGCCTAGCCACAAAACCAAAGCATGGAAAAAAGGGGCTGTAGTCATTCTTTGCAGCGTGACCGGCATTTGTCGTCCTTCTCTTGAAAACCACATCATCAGTTTTTCTAAGGAAGGTTCTCTTGTTGTGTTTTTTTTTTTATCCGCTACAGTGGTCCTCCTTTCCCCAGCCACACATACCTTCATTAGTCAATCTCATAATTTTCATTTCAGTTCAAAAATGTTAATTTAAAAAGAGTACACTTCTGTCTTACAAGGGTGACATTTTAAAAAGTTTTGGTTTGCAAGTGTTAGGTTAAATTGCTGGAAGCAGAGTTGAAAAACAGGGTTAATCAGTGTGAAATTTAGTAGCATGAGCCTGGGGTTGATTTTTTATAATGACCAGTAATTAGTTTTCCTCTCTCCTTTAAGAAAACAAAGGCTCGAAAAATCATGGCATTGATAACTTTGCTTGTGCCTGGGGAGCAAATATTTTGGAGAAAGTAAAGATGAAATGGAAAGTAAGTTTGCCTTAAAGAGAACATATTAAAGTCAAAGCTACCAGAACAAATATTCATCACCAGAAGACGAATGAGAATTTTACTATTTCTTGGCTTTAAACCAATAAAGTCGTTTACCAGATCTGAAAATGCTGCCAACCTGGGGAGGAGGGGAATCAATTTTTTCTGAACAACTGCATTTAGTAATTTCCATGAAATTGACGTTTTAGAACTGTGGCAAAAAGCCAGATTAAAACTCAGGGGTTCCTAATCCCTCAATCCTGATCCCGTTTTAGGAAATACCAAAAATACCTTTTAAAACGAACCAATTAAAATAATTACAGTGCGTTAAAATAACGCATACACATTTGCTCTGTTTCTGTTAAACACAGCTGTTGCGTTATTTATGTTTTTGCTGTCTTTAGATATGTGACTTTATATTTATTTTATACGGAAAGTAACTTTTCAAAAAGGGTGGATGTGTTCTCTTCTGTCATCATTACATTGAAAATAACTCTACAACCAATTAGCTTGGAAATCGTGTATTCACGCCTCGGAGTATGACTGCGGCTCTAACAAGGAAAGCAGCACATCCAGGTAGTTAATACAGCACGAACCAGGCACAGGCAGCAACTTGCATCCCCAGGCACTTGACACGGCTCACTCCACCCAGCTGCACAAGATCATCCTCCTCCCCCAAAACCCAAGACACCCTCTGGGCCTAGAAAGGTGCCTTGCCATGAGTGAAAAGACACCGGAAGAGCGAGAGCAGAGCGCTGGGCTACCCATACCCTCGGTCGCGGGGTGTGTGCGGTAAGCCGCCGAGGGCCCTGGGAGAGGGGAATGGGGCTGATCCTCCCACGCCTCCTCTCCTCTCCCCCCAACCCCCGCGACCCAGGATCTGCCGCAGGAGGCGCGGGGCCGGTAGCCCCCGGGCTGGGCCCCGGCTGGGATGGGCGGGCAGGGGGCGGAGCGCAGCGCGGCGCTGCGCGGGGCGGCGGGAAAGAGGGCGGAGAGGACAGCTTGGGCTCTGGCGGGCAGAGTGACGGTGGCAGAACCTGCGAGCTAGGTGGGCTGTTCGCCAGCTGCGACCAAGAACTGCTGCTGCGGTCGAGCGAGGAGGCGAGCGGAGTCCGGGAGTCTCATCGCTGCCGCCTCCCGCTCCCGCAGGCGGAGAGCGCGCACCAGCAGGCGCACCGGCTGCTGCGGCGACCCTGCGCACAGGTGGGCACCCCCGAACGCGGCCAATTGCCGCTTCCTGGGACCGCTGCGAACCCGATGCTGTGTCCCTTTCGGGCTACCGCGCTCGAGGAAGAGAACTGGGAAGGTCCCGGCACAGGAGGAAGGTGCATGAGCCCGTGGTGTGCGCGCGCGTGTGTGTTAGGTAGGGAAAGAGGTGCGGGAAAGCCGCTTCCCTCAGCGGTCACTCGCTCAGGTCTCCAGGATCCACCGCCACCCCGTCGCCCTCTTGGGAACTGGGTTTGGCTTTGGAGGACTGTGAACCCCTGTCCTGCCTGCAATCTCGGTGCTGTAAGCAGGTCGCTCCCCTTGTCACAATCCACACCCAACAGCAATCCGGACGTCCTCTCTTGCTTGCCCGCGGGACTGTAGTATTGGGACCTTGGGAGGAGAGAGTGGTGGCAAGATTGAGCGGGGCGTGCGCAGGGAAGGCTGGAGTCCCTTAAGTATTGTCTGCTGGTGCCTGCGCCCAGGTGCGCCCTCGTGCTTGCCGCGCCGGGGTGGCGGTGGGGGTGGGGGGAGGCCAATGGGTTTGCCGAACATACCTCGGAGGGTTGACTGTGCACATGTCCTTGGCGCCTCGGGGACGTTTGCACGACGGCTTAATGGAGACACGTGAGAGTACTGTTGGTCACTGGCGAGTCCCCTAAAGACCATTTTGGGGTAGCCCAGAGTGTGTTCGCGGTTAGGAAGGATAAGAGTGTTGTGTAAATGTCGATCCTACGGAGGAGGAGGAGAGGGTCTCGAGGAGACTTGGTTTTCTGGGACTTGGTGCAATTTGGGCTTTTGGAGTTGTTAAAGTGAATTCCTGGTAAGTAGGGCGGATCTGCAGTGGGGATAAACGCGTCACCGGGGTTGAGGGATAGCGGCCCCGCGGGCTTCGGGTGGGCACAGCGGTGGAAGGGTTGGTGGGGATGGGGGGGCGGGAGGTGTGCTTGTGTTTTTGGCTGAAGGTGCTGGAACTGGACAGTTGTCCTGTTTGGACTGTGGAGGAGGCTGAAAGAGGCGCGGCACTGGCTGTTAATTGTGAATTAACTCCAAAATCTTAGCCCTATTTCAGTCTCTCTGGCCGCAGAAGAACCCCTCACCCTCCCGCTGTTGGAACGCTCTGATGGTTGGTCAAGGTTCTGTGCTTTCGTGTGTTGTTTTTGTGTCTGTTTCTTTTCTGACTTGTTTTTTGTTTGTGTTTTAAGGGTAAAGGAGCTACCTGTATTAAAGGAAGACCTTGGGCGCTCTTCCTTCATGCTCAGATCGGGGAGTTGGGCATTGCGAGGGAAATAGCTCGCCACACTGCTGTTTAGATTGGACAAAGATCTAGTTCAGGTTAGAATTTTTATTTTAAATAGACGTACAAGGACCTTCTGATAAAGTAACCCGAACCCCGTGTGCTCTCTGCTGTGATCATGTAAAAAAAACAAAACAAAACAAAACAAAAAACTCTTAACTCCCGTATTAGCAAAGTGCTAAAGTCGTCTTTTTAAGGGACAGGTCTTGAAAATGGCTGTAAGTTGGGTTCTGCGACGCCGTCTCTTTATTTTAGAAATTGATCCAAGTGGTGTAGAGAGTAAAAGACCTGAGACTTGGGTACGTTTCCTTTTCTAATCCAATAACCGGTCAAATCATGGGAGTGGGGCGGGGGGGGAGGGGAGAAGGGCAACGCGGACTTTTTCCACACAGAGGAAGAAGGACGCTTTTGTCTTTTAGAGCAAATTCTTTGCCACTTTTCTCCTAATTGCCTTCGTTAGATGCCTGGACAAGACGCATTGTGGAGGAATCATACGCCTGTATGGCTCACTTCCCTTTTGTGCCTACAGGTGGCGGTGTAGAATCCAAAAACCGGGAGCTTCCAGAAATGGTTGCTGAAAAACAAGAGTTGAATGTACCGGAGGGAGCAAGCACAAGAATCTGAAAAACCGCAGGTATGTAGAGCAATTAATCCACCGCTCTCATTTTATAATGATTGCATTTCAGTTGTATTAACCTGCTTGCTCCTGGGATCAATATTTGGAAATTTATATAGACTTTCATGCATTGAATGAAATCTGAGGTTTTCTCGGGAGAAAACTATTCGACTCTATCTCAGTCTATCGCGCTATCGGACAGTGCGTGATTGTTGATTGTTCTAAAAGGGAAACGCCGTGTTTTCATGGGGACTGGGCATTTATTGAACAAGTTGTTGCTTGATGATGGTTTTTCCAAACACTTTTCCTGAGGATATTCTAGCCTCCAGTTGTCCTGGATAACTTTGGGATACTGCGAACACAATCACCTTGTTCAACCAGACTCTGCTTTTAAGAAAGCTGTATCTCTTTCCTGATTTGACTTAACCCTGATCAGAATACAAATATATTCTGGAATCTTCTTTCAAAGCCACTCTTCTGTGTTTAATCTTCTCTTTATTTTTCTCCTTTGACCTGGCTGCTTCCGCAGGCATACCGAGTTGCCTACCGACCAAAGTGAGGACCGGTTATGTCCTGACCAGAGTGATAAACAAGTTTGTAAAGTTATTCCTTGTGACACAATTCAAGATAATTTGCTGCCGATTACCATTAAAAATGTAAGATTTTGCAGATTAACTTTTTTTTTTTTTTGCGGCAAGTGGATAGCACATTGTTATGAAGTGGGGGGAGGTTAGCTTTTGTTATCTTTTTTTTTCCTCAGAACGGTGTGCCATAGCTATTGCTACTTCGCCTGGGGAAGCTAAAGTTACCGAGTTTGTTATTGTGGGAGAGGCATCAACATGGCTGTTGAGGGGAATAAGCTTTCTCCTTTTGAGGGGGGCGGTTGGCATGTTCATGACATTGTGTGCAAAGATCAGATCGGGCATTTACCAGGAGAAAGTAAATTGGGAGCTCGGAATGAGAACATAGAAACGGAACTAATCATCACCGAAGGGTTCTCGCTAGCCCTGGAACATTCGGGAACATGTGGGTTTGTACTGCATGGTCCTTGCACTCATTAGCTGATTCAGGAAATGGTGAAGTAACTATCTCCCAACTCGTATCATCTACTCTCCCAAGTGAAACAGGAAAAAAGAACAGGGTTGGAGATATTGTTCCATTAAAAAAAAATTCTAACATACATTTTAGGAGCTTTTGAGAGAGACTTTTTTTTTTACTCCCAAGGCATAGCACATCTTATAATAAAGTATATAAAATGTATTAAAGTGCATAGTTCTCTGTTAAAACTTGACGCGCACATACATCGCGTGATGTTGACACAAGATGCAGATTATTTTCAGCAATGGAGAAGATTTTCTCCTCCTTCCCTTCAGTTTTCTCACTGCTCACCTACAGGTAACTCGTTGTGATCCTTTCAAAAACTCCATCCGTTAGTTTTGTCTGCTTTTAAAGATCATGTGAACACCTAGATAGTAGGAAGTCTTCTGTGTCTTCCTTGGTGAAACATGGTGTTTATGATACTCGTTCGTGTGGTTGCATGTATCAGTAATTCCTTCTAATCTGTTGCTGAGTGTTAGTTCCATCGTGTGGATTTGCAGTTTGTCATCCATTTCCTTATTGGATCTTACGATTGTTTCCAGTTGTTGGAGCATGTGAATAAAGCAGCTCTGAGCTTTCTCACTTATTGTTGCTTGGCGCGCATGCCCACTCATCGCACTGGGCATATACCTGTGAATGGAATTGAGGTCGTACGGTAAGACATACTTTTATGTTGAGCAGATACTACCGATTTTCCAGAGTGGTTGTGTCAGTTGAAATCCCACTTCTGTGTGCAACGGTTCCTGTTTTGTTAGTCTTTTGTAATCCTAACCATTTGGCTGGGAGCATAGTGCTGTTAAAAAATTATTTTAAAATAATTTAAAGATGATTTTAATTATGATAAAATACACATACATACAGTTGACACATTTTTCTTCAAGTGTACATTCAGTGGCTGATGCCATGGGACATTCACATTATTGTGTTAATAATTCATGCCTATGACTCTAGTCATGTAATACAAGTGAAACTCTACCTATTGCACAATAATGCCCTATCTTTTGCCACTTCCCCCATTGCCTTCTCAGCCCTTGGCAGCCACCATTCTGCTTTTCTGTCTCTAGAAGTTTGACTACTCTTGGTGACTTGTATAATGTAAGTAGGATCATAATACCTTTTTCTGGCTACCTTATTTCCCTTAATATCCTCAAAATTCACTACTGGTATAGTTTGTATCAGATTTCCTTTTCGATGTCAAATAGTATTCCTATGTCTACCTGTATCACGTTTTGTTTACCCTTTCACCAGTCACTGGGCACTTGGGTTACATTTGCCTTTGGTTATTGTGAACATGGGTGTACAAATATCTCTTTGAGACCCTACATTCAACTCTTTCAGAGTATGTACTCAGAAGTAGAATTGCTAGATCATATATGGTGAATCTTTTATTTAAAAAGTCATTTGATTTGAGAGGTAGAGACAGATAAAGTTCCAATCCAATTCCCCAAATGCCCACAGTGAGCCCGGCCGAGGCTGGAAGCCGACGCTGGGAACTCAATCCAGGTCTCCCATATGAAGTGACCGAGTCACTTAATCCATCACTGCTGCCTCCCAGGATCTTCAGTAGCAGGAAGCTGGAGTCAGAGCCAGAGGTGAGTATTGAACTCAAGACATTTGACAAGAAAAGTGGTCATCTTAATGCTGACCTCACATGATAGTTCTGTTTTTAGTATTTTAGGAGACCATTGTACTCTTCATAGTGACTGCAATATTTTACATTTCTATCAGCAGTACACAGAGTTTTACTTTTTCTACATCCTCAGCAACATTTAAAAAAAATTGTTTATTTACATGAAGGCAGTTCTAGAGAGTGAGAAATCTACCTGCGGGATCACCCCCCAAATGGCTGCCATGGCTCGGACTGGGTCAAGCTGAAGCCAGGAGCCTGAAACTCCACATGGGCTTCCCATGTAAGCGGCAGGGGTCCAAGCACTCAGGGTATCTTCCGTACTTTTCCCCGGGCACATTAGCAGGGAGAGAGATAGGAAATGGAGCAGCCAGGACTTGACTCATTGCTGATATGGAATGCCAGCATTACAAGGTGTTGTTTCTATTTATTTTCTAAGAATAACCATCCTGGTGGTGGGTATTATGGCACAGCTGATCAAGGCACTGCTTGCGGCATGTTGTTCCCTTTCAAAGTGCTGGCTCCAGTCTCCTTTGCATCTGATCTAGTTTCCTGTTAAATACACCAGGAAGGCAATGAATGAATGGTAGTGCAGGCATTGGGTTCCTGTCAACCGTGTGAGGGAAATGGATGGACTTCCCGATTCCTACCGGGCTGTGTAGCCATGGCTAGTGGCTTGAGGAGTCAGCGAATGGAAGATCTCTCCTGTCTCTGTCAATCTCTTGAGATATATATGTGATTTACTTATTTTTATTGGAAAGTCAGATATACAGAGAGGAGGAGAGATGGAGAGGAAGATCTTCTGTCTGCTGATTCACTCCCCAAGTGAACACAACGGCCAAAGCTGAGCTGATCTGAAGCCAGGAGTCGGGAGTCTTTTCAGGGTCTCTCACATGGATGCAGGGTCTTGAGGCCTTGGACCATCCTCGGCTACTTCCCAAGGCTACAAGCAGGGAGCTGAATGGGAAGTGGGGCCGCTGGGATTAGAACAGGAGACTTTGGGACTAGAACTGGTGCTCGTATGGGATCCCAATACATGTAAGGTGAGGACTTTAGCCATTAGGATACCATTCTGGGCCCTCATCCTAATGGAAATGAGGTGGTTCATGTAATTCATATTTCCTGGTGAGTAATGCCTGCCATTCTATATACTTATTAGCAGTTGGATATCCTTTTTTAAAAGGGATTTACTCATTTGAAAGATAGTGTAACCAAGACAGAAAGTAGATGGATAGTCTTCCACCTGATGGTTCATTCCCCAGATGACCTGGTTGAAAACCAGAAACCAAAATTCCATCATTCCATCATGGTCTCCTACATCTAGGGCAAGGGCCCAAGTACTTGCGCCATCACCTGCTACCTTCCCAGACACATTAACAGGAAGCTATTCAGAGCAGAGTAACCAGGGCTTGAACAGGTGCAACAGCATGGAATGCCAGCATTGCAGTCAGCAGTTTAACCTACTGGGCAACAATACCTACCCTGTGATATCCTTGAATGAAGTGCCTGTTCAAATTCTTTTCCCATCAACAATTTGCTCTTATTTATTTAAGAGGAAGGGACAGAGTTCCACATTTTTAGTTGGTTTCTTTTCCTTATTTATAAGCAGTCTTGTATTCTGCATATGCCAGACATATGTATTAAACATTTTTTTCTCCTGAGCTGTGGCTTGCATTTTCATTGTCCTAGAGATATTTGGATGATTTTTAATGATGTACAGTTATGGTTTTTATTTTGGTTATTACTTTTGTGTGTTGTATTTGTGAAGTTTATTACTATTTTATTTGCAAGGCAAAGTGGGTAGGGAGAGACGGAGATGTCTCTGGTACAACAAATCACTCCTTAAATGCTAGCAATATCTAGGACTAGACTGCCGAGGCTGAGAGCAGCATACCCGATTCTGACCTCCCAGCTGAGTGGCAGGGATTCATCCACTTGAGTCCTGATTTCAGAGATCTGGCATCTGCAACCTGAGCCAGAAATCAAAATCTAAGCACTGCAATATAGTATGTGGGCAAGTTAACCAGCATCTTAATTTCTAAGGCAACACACCTGCCCCTGTGGATGCTTGGGAGTTATTATTTTTTTAAACTTGTTGCTAGATCTGCTGTTAAAAGGCGGAGTTACAGGGGAAGAAGGACAAGGAGGGGTAGGGATCTTTTATCCACCGTTTTACTTCCCAATTGGCTGCAACGACAGGCCTGGCAAGGCCAAAGACAGAAACCCCTAGGTCTCCCACATGGGTGCAGTGGCCTCAACACTTCGGTGGTCTTCCTGTGCTTTCCCAGGTGCATTAGCAAAGAGCTGAATTGAAAGAGCAGCAGTTACTTAAAGCAGTGTTCGTGTAGGATGCTTGTGCTGTCAGACATGATTTAACCTGATGATCCACAACGCTGACTCCTAAACTTTCACTGAAAACATGAGGAAAATCTATTTGGAAAATATAAGTTTTTCAAAGGGTTCATCGAAAATGAAAAAAATTATACACAAATTTCACATTTTTGGTGCCTTCCCTTTTCTCACTTTTTTGCATTACTCGCATAAATCTATTTCCTGTATGTACTCTTTGAGAAGCAAAGTTTGTGCTATTGTTTGTTGCAGCAGGTGGCATTTTTTTTTTAAAGACCTACCCTCTTCCCTCTGCTCCTTCCTCACAGGAGTGTACCTCTTGCTGCCACTACTGTCACTCCACTCAGATCTAACCTTTCCTGCTTCCCGATAAGCTCGCACCAGATGGCCCCCAGGCCCCTGCGTGGAAATCGTCCCTTGTTGCATTGCACACTGCTCTTCAGCTTTCCTGCCTTAATTAGTTTATATACCGTTAGTTGAGGATTCTGAAGCAGCAGTCTCTTGGCAAAGTCTCTAATCCTCCTACACAATCTTTATCACCCGCACAACCCATTTTTAGTTCCCGAGCTGCTGCC